AGGACTTTGTTTGGTGTGATGTGCTCGCACGTAATCAGATAATTGACTATAACTTTTACCCTGCCCAATCACGAGAATTTGAAGATTTTTTAATGGAAATTGTCTGATCGTCCACTTTCCTAATCTTCTGCTCTCCATCAGATAAACGCATTTTTTTACACTCCAAGACCACGATTGCGCCACAACATTTGGTGTTTTAAGACTACGTGGTGATCAGACCAATTGTTTAGTGAAGAGGGAGCAGAAAATGGTTGAATAAAGGGCAATGTGTACTCACTGAAACGCTTTTCGCAATATCTTTGCTCGGGATTTACATTGTTTGTATCGTCAAATTGCTGCAGATACTCCGAATGCGATGCCCCACTTCCACTGCCGAAATTCGAAATCGGACCTGGTGTTACAGGCGGAGAACCAAATAAGACCTTTCCTTCGCAGTTGTCGCTGAGGTCACTGTTGTCAGTAGGTGGAGAAGCCATAACAGCGACGGCTGTATGAAATTCCTCAGCTGAGTGTTGTCGATCCCATAGTAAAGGACCTCCAAAACTGTCATTAATGGAAAATTCTTGTTTGATTGTCGACGTTGCCAGCTGCATCATATGCGGTGGAGTCAAGGTATGCGAAGACCTGAAAGGCACGATAATACAAATGAGCTTTCTTAAGTGATAGATTCTTGGCTTTTACGTATGAGCAAACTAAGTAACGCATGAAATGTTCATCTGAATTAGATCAAATTAAGTGTATTTACTGTAGGTTACCAACCGACGGTAAACTTAAGGTTAGCAACAAAATGAAGTAGGTCACGGTACTCCAAGAGTTATAGCATGCGAGTGCCACCACCGTTACACTAGGTACTAAATTCATAAAGCCAAGTTGAAAAAGTAGGAGATTTCTTCTTGCAAGCACCACCCTTTAAAATCTGCGTGTATTTAAGTGAGAGCCACCCATCGAAACCAACTAAAATTTTATAATCATGCACGTGAGCAAATTAGGCGCAGATGGAGGGCTTTCAAACTATCTACCATCCATTTTAAGAATTTTCAAAAATTAGGAACATTAGGGCAGCTGTCAAACAAAATAATTCCTGCTACAAAAATAAAATCAGGTTGCTTTGTAAAGTTTTATAAATAGCTATTGAACCTTAGAGAATTTGACTCTTGATAAAGTAAACATAACACTCGAATGTCAGACTTAAAATTGAGTAAAAAGAGTTAAACGAGCTAGAGCAGGCACTGACCTCTCAAGGCGGACGCTGCCGGTCCCTTCGAGTAGTGCCGGAATTCGGTTCCTCATTCCAGCCAATCACATGTTAGAGTGGGCAAGACGACGGTCCATCCAATGGGATGCGTCTTCGGGGACCTCATAAACCAGCAGCCGCTGACGACGAACAAGATTGGGGGACAAATCGGGGCGTCACTTAATTGACAGGTAGCGATTGATGGGTTGTATTATTGTTTCAGGTGCTTCAGGACCGATATTGTGGGGTCCTTTTGCATCTAGATTTAATCTGGTTGAAGGATTAACCGAATATATTAAACCCAAATGCTACGGTCCATCTGCAGTCTTGCCTCATTCGAATTCCCCTTGCATGTCCCCAAATACTTAGTAATATTTCTAAGGGACAAATTTCTTTTCTCGCAACACTAGAGGTTTTTCATGTAGTAAAATTATTTGAGTTGTCTATGTGACTTTTTTCCTGAGTACTTCACTTGTCCGGTATCTTCAGGTAAATCGATTTAATTTCGGAGTAAAAAAGATCAGCCTCATCCAGTTATTTTATAGATGGATTGGTAAAAAAACTTTTACTGCGAATGAAAATGAATTATTCCTCTATGAAGCACTAGTGTCATAAAAAATCAACCTTACGAGCTACACAATCAACTGCTTCTCGATGTATTTGCATACAACTGATTATTTCATTTAGTAACGTCATATGATTTTTATCTTGACACATAGATCAGAAGGCTCAATAGGTCAACTGTTTATATTAGTTGTTCTTCAGAAATAGCAGCTTCATACATCATGGTCTTTGGTGCAGTACCATATTACTTTTGAGCGTGGCAGTCTCGAAATTCGCTTAGGCAGCCAGTGAGTGATGAAGTTGTTTTGAAATAAATTTTTCAAAATGAAAGTATAATGCACAACTCGCTTCATCCTGGTTCCAAATTTCCCAGTGTGACAATATAATTAACCATTGAGAAACCTGGTTTGTGAAAAACCTAAATGATCTTCACTGTCCAGTGAAAAGGAATAGGAATTAAAAGGAATAGATATTAAAATTGTAGTTGTTCGACCTACTAATATCGGGAAAGATCGGTGCATACGTGGGCGATATCGCTTTTAAAGTTCCGAAATTACATAGAGACGTTTGCGCATCTTAAATTTTTGCATACAATCTGTCCTACAACTTTGGCAAGAAAATTATGCCCATGAGAGACGCTAAGGGCAATGTTGAGTGAATCGCGATTCATGGGGTCGGGGCGAAAATCACAGTCGACGCTTTGGATCCCAATGATATCTCGATAATGTCATTTCTATCGCCGAAGGTAGCTGCCTAAAATAACTACCAGGTGTGTTTTTCAAGGTAAACTCCTCACGTATTTAGCCGATGTTGATACTTTTGGTGAGGCCAGGCCGCAGGTCAGTGTTGCGGTGGTGTGCAAGTGAACGTTCGCGAGTATTTGCTGCTTTGTGTGAGAGAAACTGACGGTTAAACCGCAGAACACTTCCAGCTGCATGCTAGGGCCAAGGGGCAACGCCAATTTTCCCATACAACGACAAAACGGCAGCAATAAAGCATGCATTAAATGGTGCCTCGACCGTGGTAAATGACCAATTTGCATGTATAAACACCTATGGGAGATTTGCGCAAAATCATGGCTTATGGGAATGGACACTGAGCATCAGGTCACAAATTTGATTCTACCTCTGTGTTTAAATAAGCTTAGTGCCTTACTAGTGTCCTTGAAACCATCGATATTCCAGGAATAAACACCGCCTCTAGAATAAAAATCATTGACAGGGTTTCATGGTCCTCCGATTTTCGTTCAAAATAATTATCATTATCAAGATTTTCACTCAAAGTTAATGACAAGGATTCAATTTACACTAGAGTTTATTGACTGTTTTGTCAGAATTTAGCTTACCACACTTGGTGAGTGCAAGGGTTAGAATAGTCCAATGCCGACCTGATAGAAACTTGGGTAAATATTCATGCACTTAGCAAACCTGGTTTGTTAGAACCAAAGCGGACTCCTAATCATTAGACTGAATACCGGGGTCGACGAATCATGCCTTTCAGACTACTCTGATTGGCACGTCCAGGTGGCCGCCGTCCTCTTCCACCAGAGTAGTGTGACCTTGTCACTCATTTTCCTCTCTTGCAGACACTTCGCATTATTATTAGCTGGCTGGTATCTGATCATCCAAAATGTTTACAGGTGCTGAGGTGTTAATTGGCCGTTTTGGAGACCCACGTCATGGTCTAATCAGCCCTTCCTCCGCTCAACTGTCAAATGGCTGAACGCCACCCTATTAACAAATTTAGGGATTTTTACTGACGTCTAAAACCACAACGCGTTTTTCTTACTGATTTTCGCCACATTTGTTTTTCATTTCAAGTTTCCGTGCGTGACGAAAAATTGACTTTGGGTCATTAAAACCCACGTTAAAAGGTTTTTTTAAATTGGTTCTTAATACCACACGTAGGCGAAGTGAAATTATCCCAGGGTTCCAATTTAAAGTGATGGTTGAGCATTGTTTACTTAGGAGACCACGGTGATTTATCAATTTCATGAAGGTAGATGCATCAGTTTTGCCGCTTTACTTGATGTCTAGGCGTATATTCAAAATTCAACAGATGTTAGAAAAAAAATGAATTGTGAGACAACGGCAGGCTTTTTCATAATCGGGATTTTTCTTGATGCATGCGTAAGCGTATTCGTGAGGTATTTGGATGCACAGTGAGGGCTAGCGATTTATGGAAACACAACTTAGTAAACCAGCTTCAAGTAAACAGTTCAGACTGACATTTTCTAATAAACCTCTTCCGGTATAACAGAACAAAAATATAAATGCCTTTTTCCATGGGTTTTCAGATTGGAAAATATATAGATGTAATATTATTTACTAAGGTTATTTAAGTAGAATGTTTACGGTAATATGGCCTGAAATGAAATAAACCGGAAACTGAAAACATCATCAATTACAAACAATACATTGTGATAAAGGGAATTTTTGACTAAACCTTTATAAAGAGGTAAGAATGTCTAGATGTCTCTAATACTCCAATATATTTAAACCTAAATTGATGAAGTCTCGATTACAACACGACTGAATGAACAGAAATTGAGCCATGCTCCCGAAGAGATAAAAAAAAAGAGGAAAATCAAAAGAAGGTCCAAGGTGACTCAGAGTCTCGGCTCACTCTGACTTTTGCGTGCCCCTTTTTCCAATGATGTTTCCAGCCAAACTTGCGTGACCGTGAACAGAAAAATTAACTAAGTCGAAGTGAGCTTGCATTGAGGCCTGTAGGCCTATTTCGCATCGAGAGTGCTGTTGTAGGATTATTTTACAGTAATTCGAATAGCTGCGATTGGTTATTCTTGCTGAAATTTGGGCTAAGACCACCACGTTTGTGACGTTAATGGGCATCAGTCCATTGTAGAGACGTGCTACGAACTGCACCCTGGTTGCAGCTGTTTTCCAGGTTTCCCACAAAACGTAGAAGAAATGAAAAATGCAACTTTCACACTAATTCTCCCCCCTCTAGCTGGGGCTCATGGCAACGTAGCCCTGCTGACACAGAAAAACGCTCACACACACACACAAAGATGTAACAAGTAGGTGGGTGGTGGGCAAGGTGACCTTTTTGGCCAGTGGTTTTTCGGGCGGGCGTGAAGCAGCTGATGTCGGTCGCTGGCTTTTTGAGAGCAAATGGCCGTGCGATTGAGGGTTACGTGACTGAATGTGATCTTTCCGGTGCACAAGGATTTGACTGACATTGGAGGAAAATGCTCTTGGCATAAATATGCCCTTTTTACAGTTTGAGTCCGTGAGTGCGCTCCCTCAAAGCCACAACAACACAAGATGACAACACTAAAGAATCCTATACATGTCTATGGATTCTATATGTCCTTAGGGCAGCTAGATTAAATAGACATAATCATTATGAGTGAATTTTTCTAACGATGCCCGTTTAGGAGAGACTTAAAACTAGATTTAAGCTGTATCAAGATGTGAAATCGTCTTCATCCCATTAAGGCATGTAGATGAGCAATCAACTTTCGTTGCCAAAGCTGCCTCGAGTTGTGAGAAATCGTCCATCTTTTTGCCACAAAATCTTTTGATTTTTGATAATAACATTTAAAGAGCCCTAATTGGTAAAGGTATCGGGTTAAATCATGAGTTATTTAAGACTAAGAACATGCCAACAGGAATTCGGAAAAGTCTTAAAGTTATGAATGTTTCGCCATTATTCGTGATGTCTTCGAATCGTTACACCCTTTAGCAATTAGTAACCATATGGAATTATACTTATATAAACATTGATGGGGGATGTTTTTTTATTAGCAAACCATATGCATTAAGAAATTTTGTGCTTTGCAAATTAAAATAAGAAATATGATTTACTTTCAAGCTTAAGTATTTTAAAATGGCAAAAAATTATAAGATGGTCACAAAAAAACATTGTAATCAGGAGGCAATTTTTTTCGAATGCGCGTTTTCATCGAAGTCGAATGGATTGTCCAAACGAGGTGCCTGGCAGGTGCTGCAAAATGTCACTCCTCAACTTGGCCAACCGTT